CAAGGATTTGCACAATTTCGGACATATTTGAAAGTGGAGATGCGCTTACAATACTCTTTGGAAGATTTTCGAACACGCAAACACTGCAGAGACAAAAGTTGTTGAAGAGAATTAGTCAAATTTTGATTTTTCTGTGTAGGGTAAAATCTGAAACTTGCATTAAGGTCGGAACAGTTGTATTATAGTTTTTATGGCCTGCTCTTTTCACCTGAGTTAAAATTATATTGATTGAGTTTCACTTTGAAAAATTATGATTGTTGAGCAGGCAGTACAAACGGTAAATTTGATTTTTTGGCATTTTCTTGAAAATTAAGCTTTGATACATAGAAATACTGAATCAACACAATCTTGCTCAGATGGAAAGAACAGGTCATAGAACTTTAATAACAACTATTTCGTTTTCTAGTGTATGATTCAGATTTTTGGCAGCCTTATACAGAAAAATCAAAGTTTGAGTATTTCTTCCGCAGCCTCTATCTCCGCAGTGTCTGCATCGAAAGTTTTTTCAGGATTAATCTACAGCGCATGGTCTCCTCTTTCGAATGTGTCTAGAGTTGTACTAATCTTTCGAGAAACTAAGAATTATGAATTTTTGAAGATGTGAACAATTCGGGCCAAGCTAACATTTTTCTGACAGTGTTTGGTACCTATTTGTTCCTTAATATTTCCTAATAATTGCTAGGTACGTCATCTTGCTGAACTTGTTCTCCCTTCGATTCCTTTACTTCCTGTGGTATGGACGCAGATAGCTATGCGTATGGCGCTTACTACAACCCAAAGGCATGCAGCTGGTAGATGTTTCCAGGTAGCTTTTTGGTTGTTTATCATTGACACATTTTTTGTAATATTGGACGCTGCAGATAGTATCCGCGTTATGCCAACCTCCTGGCGCTTGGATACCATCACTAATTAGCAGACTGGTGGAGACGGCTGGTGAAACACACGAGGATACCCAGGCATATGTGACGGATTTATTGCTCTGTCTTCTTAGCAGTGCTCCTCATTTAAATCCGGTGCGTTCCACCATAGAAATTTTATTAGTTTCCGCTAGTTTTTGATATTTCATTCCTTCGTTGACTGATTGCGGTTCAGATACTGGAGCCACCACTCCAATCATCTGCATCTCCCAGTCATGCGCGGTCAACATCTTATACTCCTGCTCTTCTCAGGCAGTCTGTTATCACCCAGAGACTTCATCAGGAGAAGAAAGGTGGGAATGAATACTTAGTATGATTATTACCCAAACCTGCTCGCCATCTCATCCGTTCTAGATGCTCGGCTGTCGCTCTTACTTTCAGAAGAGGACTCCCGCCTGGGAAGTGCATTGATGAGAAGCAAAAGTGCTGATCAGTTGAAGTGTGATGCCGAAGGAGACGAGGTTGTTGGTGTACTTAGAAATTAATTAATTTAATTATGATGGTTATTTTTTGTAGGAGGCCACAGCGCGAATGCAGATATGTGCTATCGCCGTTGCATTGCTTGAGAGTGGAGTGGACAACGAATTTTTGCTGGCCATCAACCTCCTCGAAAAGGT